TCACTCTCTCCCTCAGTCAGCCATTGCGTCTTTTCTCTTGGAAGAAGACGCACTGGGTTACCTTGCGTTGATTCTGGGGGGGTCAAGGTCCCCGCGACCTCCTGGTTGGTGGTCTGGTCAACCAGGCTGTTGGACGCGGCTGCTCGCAGCCTGACGTATGCATCACAGCCTGGTTGAGCTCAGTGAGGAAAATGTGTTCTGTATTCTGAGGGTCCGGTGCGTTCGGTTGCTCTTGGTTGCTCATCCGATTGATTAGGCTATTGGTGCCAGCAGTCCCATCCTTTTCATCAGGTATCTATTGATGGTGGCTATCACGCTCACTCTTGAGCATAATTACAGATCAATTGGTAATTCTCCTTTCATTTAAGCAAATGTTCTCTGGTAGATGACCGGCGCTCTGCTGCACACTTGCCTCAATGTTCGTGTATAGTGTATATATTAACCCCGCCTGAGTCACATGTGTATCCCAGCGTGTCACATGTATAGCCAAAGTCATTTGTCCTTTCTTTCCTAAGTGAATTGGCGAATATTAAACCTCTTCTCCATACTTCACTTGTATATTATACTCCTCAATACTTCTCTTGTATATTGTACTTCTCACCACATTTGCTCGCATTTCCACACACTTATTATTTTGTTTTGTTGTTGTTGTTAAAGATTTAGCTACTCAGGACGAAGTGTCCATGTAGCACGGGCTATGGTGAGCCCGTAAAAAACCTTATTTTGTTTATTACATGTTTCACAGTTAACAAACATTCCACGTTCACCTCCCTGCACATTTCGATCACTTTCACCCGGGGCATCAGACCCCCCCCCCTACTCCATATTGAGACGGTGCCCACTGTTCCCTCTTCTTTTTATCCACTGGTCTTTACACTCCTTCACAGTGATAGTTAAAAGGGAGATGTAATAGGCATGCAGTATGTGGTATAGTGGTGGGCAGGGTGTGTGGTGGGCAGGGTGTGGGGTGGGCAGGGTGGGTGGTGGGCAGGGAGGACTGCACAGTACGGTGGGCCAAGACGGCAGGTGGTGAGCGTCCCAGGCCAGCTGGTGGCGTCGCCTCGTGTACGAGGCAGTTAACCTTGAGTTGATTCCCATTATCAATGTCCTCGTGGTAGTAGGCCTCTAGCCAGGCCTACTACTTTGTACTCACCTAGTTTGGTGAGTAAAATGGTAAGGGTTGTGCTTAGACGCCCCTCAACTTGTGTACAGGTTCCTGAGCCTATTGGGCTCTTATCATTTGAAGCAGTGTATGGACTCAGCCTCCACCACGCCACTTCCTAGTGCATGCCATTTAACTACTCTGCGCTCAGTTTGGCGTGTTGACGGTTGATCAGGTCTCCAGTGTTTGGAAGTATTTATCAAGTTCCTTTTGCACGACGGAAGAGGTTGGCTACTTATTGCCCTTATATTTAGAGGGATGGAGCCTCAGGCCGCTTAAATGTTATAGAATTGTCTCTTAATGCTATAGAATTGTGTCTGCGTATTTCATAGAGTACGTATTTCACTTCTATTTTCCACATTCTGCCGTATGTCAAACCTTAACATAGTTCAATTCCTAATATCACGCGAGGGTGGGTTATATATTTACTATTTGTGCCAACAGAGTTGAGCTATTAGCTCTTGGACTCCGCCCTTCTAACCAATCTATTTTTCCTCTTATGTCTACTACATTTTTCTAACATACACACACATCCCCTGGAAGCAACCCGTTTCAGCAGTCTAACTCCCAGGTACCTATTTACTGTCAGGTGAACAGGAGCATCAGTGAAAGAAACTGCCCATTTGTTTCTGCCTTGGCCTGGAATCGAACCCGGGCCCTTAGGACTACGATCCCCCGAGCGAGTGCCCAGTGATGTTGTTATAGATTCAGCTACTCAGAACAAATTCCAGGTAGCACGGGCTATGGTGAGCCCGTATTGGACTTACCTGGCACAGGAGCAGGGCAAGTAGCTCGGGCTATGGTGAGCCCGTAGCTTACCTGGCACAGGAGCGAGGCAAGTAGCACGGGCTATGGTGAGCCCGTAGTGGACTTACCTGGCACAGGAGCGGGGCAAGTAGCACGGGCTATGGTGAGCCCGTATTGGACTTACCTGGCACAGGAGGGGTGCTGTGTGGTCCAGTGAGCCATGAGGTCCGTGTAAGGTACACAGGAGGGTGGGTTGTGTAGGGTGTGGCCAGGTAGTGGAGCGGTGGCCGGGAATGATGCTCGCTGCCCCTTCTGCCATGCCTCCACGGTTAACCTTCTCTCCCGCCACGCGTCTTCCCGCCACCGCCCGCCGCGCCCTCCCGTCACAGCCTCCTCTCTAGTGTCACGCCACGTATCTACCTTTCTAGTGTCACGCCACGTATTGACAATTGTCACGTGATTTATCCCTAGATGTCTCGAGTGTTGGTTTGTGGCACATGTTCGAATGATTACTATTTTTCGTTATAGCGAGGTTTGTTTGTTTCGTCTCCAGCGATCAGGTGTTGACGCAGCTGCTGCTTCATTCACAACCCAAGGCTGCTAGATAGATACTGTCATTGACTGAATATTTTACACTTTTAATGTAGCGTGTAAGGTAGGCCAAATAGAGAGGTATAGAGCATTGATTCCTAAGTATTGTAGTGTTGATGTATGGACCGGCAGTTATCGTACAGCGCGACCAAACAGCTGTCGCAGCCGCCCTCGCCAAGGCGGCGCTGCCAGACAACTCACGTTATTACTCTGGCAACTATTTCAACACTTAGAAATGTTTTCTTTATTTACTCATTGTTTATCTTTTGAAATAGGATCCGTCTGCAACATTGTACATCATGTTAAATATTTACATTGGTGAATATATAATGCTAACATGTTGGCTAAATGTATTAAACAGATTTCTTATTCCTTGGCTCTTGAAGTTAGCTGGAACAAGAGCAGTACAGGAGGGGTGTGGTGGGTGGGGTGGGGTGTGGGGGGTGAGGGGTCAGCGACGGTTGTTGGGGCGAGGGTGGGGGGGTGGGGGCTTTTGTGGTGGGGGTGGTAGGGTCGGGGGAAGGATTATCGTGGCGGTGAGGGTGGTAGGGACCACCACCATTTACTGTGGTGGTGGTAGGGGTGGTGATTGGGTCTGGGAGGGTGGTGGTGGTGGTAAGAGTCATTGTTGCGTGGGGAGGGGGAATTGTGGTGCCAGTCTACCAGTACTTACCTATTAGTGACTATCGGAAGTGAGGTCTAGCTCTTTGTGTCGGCCCCAGCAACTAGCCGTGTTGTACTGGTTCCGCTACAGGTCACCTCGTTACAAGGTAGACTTGTATAAAGTTTCAGTGGATCTGTACATTGGGTTAATAAGTTAACAGTTAGATTGAAAAGAATATAACATTGTACGGTAGCCCATGTAGTTATACTAGGCCAGCATATTAATTAAAAAACAAAACAAAGTGTTACCGTATAAAATATCTTATGGTGGAGGTGATATATATGGAGTAAAAGAACTCCCTAATCCCTCTCCAGGTATTTTCAGGTATAGTGGAAAGTTCATAACTATCTGTACTAGGAGTGAGATGTCTGGCCCCGCCTCCTACCTATCCTAACTGGTGCTGTAAATTAATTAACGTTCCAGTTATTTGTCGTATTTGCTCGTCAAGGTGTAAATGGAGGTGGCTTACGTTACTTCTACTAGAGCACCTCACTGCGTTTGAGTTTGAGTTCATCTCTGTGGCTCATAGGTCTATGCGTTTCCAAGTTCCACTCATTTCCCCTTGTCCTATTATTCCTCAATTGGAAAAGGTTGTCCCTCTCCAACTTGTGGGTTCCCTTATTTGTGTGGTCTTCCGGTGTCAGTGCTGTTACTATGTTACCTCCCAAATTTGTGTCTATCTGCAGTTGCTTAGCAATTATGATGTTGCTTTCTTCTAGTCACATTTAACCTCAATAAATTGGCATTACACATAATGAAAATAAGCTTGATCCTCGAGACTATCCTAAGGGACCTCATGGACCCCACAATGGCCGAGGGCGACAGTTTTTCACGATGGAAAAAAATTGGAGGCTTAAATTTTACTTTGTTGATTATTATTGTTTGGGTTTGGGTTGTTAGGACATTTAAATACGACCTCCGTATTATGACAGACAGTTACCGTGACGGTAGAGGAAGGGGTGGAAGTCTAGGGTTACGGGAAGAGGGCATGCGAATATTATTGTGGCCTTGGCAGCGCCGCGTCCTCACCATGTTATTACACCACAAGTTAAGGGAGCCGGCGGCTGAGCGGACAGAATACTGGACGCGTGATCCTGTGGTCCCGGGTTCGATCCTGGGCGCCACAATGGGCAGAGTTTCTTTCACCCTGATGCCCCCTGTTACCTAGCAGTAAATAGGTACCTGGGAGTTAGTCAGCTGTCACGGGCTGCTTCCTGGGGGTGGAGGCCTGGTCGAGGACCGGGCCGCGGGGACACTAAAGCCTCGAAATCATCTCAAGATAACCTCAAGATAACCACAGTAGAGAGAGACACTTGGAGGTGGAGAGTTTTCACCAACGTTGAAGTCATGTAAACTGAACTTTTATAGTATAGAACCAAACATGAAAAATATTACGGAAACGAAGTTAAAAAACAGTCTTCGAGAGGGTTGTGTTCAAGATCCTACGGGAGGTGCTTGATTGGCGGAGCAGAGAGCAACAGCCTGACATTGTGGGGTCACCAGGGAAGCCTGGCCTCGGGGCACGCTGCAAAAGTAGAAAAACTTTCAAAACCGGTCCCAAGTTACAGACTAGCGCAAGGTGCAGTGACGACGGCAGATTTTAGCAATGTGAACATCGGAAATTTTTTGCTCTCAATTTTCTTTTTTGCTGTAATCAGCCTATTTTGGATGATGGTGATTGTATGTAAAGTATGTTATGCAATAATTCTTACTGTGACCGAATGTTGTATATTCCGGTGTATGTTATTATTTAGAACTAGTCCATGTATTAGTAATAAAAGCGTGCGGTGTATGTGTAGGTGTATACTAACCAGATACACGTCTCTGCCCCAACAGTGGTGTGTGAGGAGAGCGGGCCCGTGATCGCAGAGGAACCCGACAACCGCGTGGACTTCAGCAACTCGACCGGCGCCAACATTCACTGCTCCGTACGTGGCCACCCCAAGCCCACCGTCGTCTGGGTCAAGGCTGATGATGGTACTGCTATCGGCGATGTTCCTGGACTTAGAAAGGTCAGTGTCCATACATTACGCTCCTAAGGGGGTAATTCTGGGGTGTGTGTAGGGTTGCCAGGTACTCTCAAGGTCAGCACTGTTGCCAGCCAGACAGATACTCAGCGGGGATAGTGTTGTTACGAGGCTGTTTGGTATTCACTAGGTTAAGACTTTACTATTATGCAACAGTAGATACTCCCAGTATATCTGAAGGACTGGGCCGCGGGGACATTCAGCCCTGAAAGCATCGCACGGTAACGTAACGCAAGGTAAGGTCATGGTTACATTGCTATGATTTCGGGGTTCAACGTCCCCGCGATTCGGTCCCTGACCAGGCCTACTGGTTGCTGGACTGGTCAACCAAGGCTATTGGACGCGGCTGCTCGCAGCCTGACGTATGAATCACAGCCTCGTTGATCAAGTTGTGATTGTTTTTTTGTCATTGTGCTTTGTCATTTTTTTGTCGTGAGAAATATTCTCTATTAACTTGTTTTCGCTTGAAATATTCCCCATTGTGCGTGATGGCCCGGGGAATATTTTTTACTAATACCCGTCAATTATGTTGTCACTACCAGGTGTTGTCCAACGGCACTCTGATGTTCCCCCCCTTCCGTGCTGAAGACTACCGCCAGGAAGTGCACGCCCAGGTGTACCGCTGCCAGGCCACCAACCCCCACGGCACCGTCCACTCCCGCGATGTTCACGTCAGAGCAGGTGAGGCAGGCGCTCCTGTAGGCTGAGTGGGGCCCGGTTTGTGTCCTGGTGGTGACGCTTGCGGCTGGACCTCCAGTAACACGGCTGCGTAGGAGGAGATGGCGGGGCTCTGGAGTGGTAGAGTGGAGTGATAGGGGCTCTGGAGTGGTAGAGTGGAGTGATAGGGGCTCTGGAGTGAGCGTGAGTGATTGTGAGTGCATGTGTGTGTGTGGGCGAGCCACCACAGGACACAAACGAGCCTTGGGGAGGGCTATGAGGGCGGGCTGGCTGGCTGAGGGCACTACACCACTTGATTTGTTTGTTTGAATATCACTCAGAGCCATTATGTACACCAGTGTATAAGTAATGTGTGTTGGTGTGGTGGCATCAGCCAGTTGGTGCCACATATAGCCAGGTGTCTACTTGTCTCTCCCTAGTTGGGTGTTTCTGGACCACATTATTGGTGATAAATCTATGTATGAGTCCGTGTGGTGGGTTGAGTCTAACAGGAGGCTTGAGCACTGTGGCCCTGTGCTAGTGTGGGGTGCGAATGGGGGTCAGTAGCGTATACTCCAGGGATCAGAAGGTACGGAGGGGGAGGGGAAGTCATAAGTGTGGAGATGTGAGTTGGGTCAGTAATAAGTGTGTGTGTGAAGGGTTCAGTACCATAAGGGTGTGAGGGCGGTCTGTAGTGTGCGAGCGAGGGTGTCAGTGGGTGACACTTTGGGTGTCAGTGGGTGACACTTTGGGTGTCAGTGGGTGACAGTGTGGGTGACAGTGTGGGTGTCAGTGGGTGACACTTTGGATGTCAGTGGGTGGCACTTTGGGTGTCAGTGGGTGACAGTGTGGGTGTCAGTGGGTGACAGTGTGGGTGTCAGTGGGTGACAGTGTGGGTGAAGAAGAAGTCAGCATCACCTGCTCCACCCAGCGAGTACCCGTGTGCGACACATAACAGGTGTAGCCCAGCTGTTAAGATAAATATTTAGTCACAAACTGGCTTATCAGTAGACTTGAGACACTCATATCTTGCAGTTACCAGTTAATAGTTAAATAAAAAAAAAACTTTGTATTGGTTGAGGATGCTGTTTAAGGCGAGGCTCTCTGATATAGAGCCTGTGTTGTGAGTGTTGAGATAGAGTTTTCTGGGCAGGACCCGCACGCGTGGCGCTGGGTGGAGCAGCCTGTAGATGGGTCGAGATAAGCATCACTCCAGGCAGGCAGGAACCAGCCTCCGGCGCCGCCTCATGGCTCCTTGTGGAATGATAAAAAAAACTTACATAAGTATATACCGAGGGCGTATGGTTAAATGAGGTGTGGCTGTGGGTGTGGCGCGCACCAGAAGCATTGTCACACCATGTCACATCATTAAGCCCTGTAGTGAAACTTAAAAGAGTGAGGTGCTTGAGAGAGGCTGGTTCCTGCTTGCTATAAGGGAGCAGTTATGGCTCTTATGGTAGCTACTTTTAAGTGTTTATTGTTCACTATTGTCAAATATGCTTAGGGCAGATAATTCATTACCATGTGACTGGTTTTCATCATTGCCATGTGATCGGTTTTCTTTATTACCACGTGCCCCCGTTTTCTTTATTACCACGTGCTGTTTTCTTTATTACCACGTGCTCCGTTTTCTCCATTACCATGTGACCGGTTTTCTCCATTACCATGTGACCGGTTTTCTCCATTACCATGTGACCGGTTTTCTCCATTACCATGTGACCGGTTTTCATCATTACCATGAGGTCGGTTGGCATTGTCTTGGGTTGGGAAGTATAGCGTGTGATGACACTGATGGTGTCCGGTATGGTGATGATGGTGCGTGTGGGCCTTATCACCACAATTATTAGGGCCAGCGCGCACCTGTAGCCTCGGGGGTCAAGGTGAGCACGCGCACGCCCCCCTCCCCTTCTCACAAGGGGGGCTCTCTCCCCCCCTCACTGCTCTCGTCTTCCTTTCGTTGGCAACATTTTTCCCTCGCTGGTTTCCTTATCATCGTGAGCTGTATGACGCACACAATGTGACGTCACGACGTACGTCACAATGTAAATATTGACGTAATACTCTCGGTGCCTTGGTGTAGAAGACATGGGGCGGGGTTCATAATATATTCATTTTCACTTTCAGGAGAGGCAGCAGACTTGTTTATACATACGACCCATGTATTTGTGAATGTGTGTGTGTGTGTGGGGTGGTTGAATGTTATTGTGTCTTCATAGGGGTGGCATAACCCCAGTGTGGAGTGTACTGGGGCATTGGTAAATGTATGTTCCGCGAATGACCTTGTGAGCGTGCTGGTTAGACTGCCTGGGTGACGAGCGCTGATTCTCATAACCAACTCAGTTTCCAGGGCAGACTTGCGGAAAGCCGGAGACACAGTCGGCTGAACATCGCTGTAAACTGGGTGTGTTGCTTTCTCCAGAGAAACATTCATGATCATGAAACCTTGCCCCAAGTGTGTGTGTGCGTGTGTACTCACCTATTTGTGCTTGCGGGGGTTGAGCTTTGGCTCTTTGGTCAGGGTGTG